TCTCTGATTCTTTCTTTTTGATTATTGGAATTTTTGTCCTTTCTTCATATTTACAATTGTTATCTTCCATTTTCTAACAATCAGCATTCCTTTAAATCTCTTTGGAAGTGATATTGATACCTTTGTACTTGCTTGGAATTCTTAGCTTTGTGGCTATTTTCTCCAGATTACTACCGACTTTGTTTTCTCTTCTGCTGTTTCAATACTGGCTAATTGAATCTGTGTTTTATCTCTGCTTTTTTCCTTTAGTTTTGGTATCAGTATGGGCTTTTGTAAATGGGGTGGCTACTGCTAATAAGAATCTCACTGCATTCTACCATCTGCCTCTGAAATCCTGGGTAAACTTCCAACTCAGGATTCTCTAACTTATTTTTCCCCCAGTAAAAGAATAATATACATTAATTATAAAAAAAATTTAGAAAAATACAAAAAAGATTAAAGAACAAAATGAGTGTTATAATCTTAAAACCCAGAGATCAGCACTCTAAACATGTTTTCTAAGAGAACATTAAAAATATTGTAGCTGGGTGTGGGGGCACATGCCTGTAATCCCAGTGGTTCGGGAGGTTGAGGCAGGAGGATCTCAAGTTCAAAGCCAGCCTCAGAAAAAACGAGGTGCTAAGCAACTCAGCAAGACCATCTCTCTAAATGGTCTAAATGTTCGAGTACCCCTGAGTTCAATCCCTAGTAAAAAAAAAAAAAAAATCTCTGAAAATATGTTTAGTGACTAATATTCTATCACATGGATATGTGATAATTTACTTACTTAGTCTTGTGCCATTGAGTGTTTGGGCATTTCCAATGTTTGCTATTGTGAAGTAACATTGTAACTAATGTCTTTTTAGGCACAGATTTTTGCCCCCATCTTTAATTACTTCCTTAATATAGATTTTTGGTAAGTAGAATCATTGAATTAAAACATATAGGCATTCCCCTTGCTTCTCTTTATTTCAAAAATTCAGTCAGAGTAAAGTGAAAAATCACTTGATTTTGAGTGAAACTTGCATTTTATGTTTGTTACCACTTTCTCTCTCTCTCTCTCTCTGTGTGTGTGTGTGTGTGTGTGAGAGAGAGAGAGAGAGAGAGAGAGATGGTGATAGGGATTGAACCCAGGGCCTTGTGCATGGAAGGCAAGCACTCTACCAACTGAGCTATATCTCCAGCCTTCCACCTGTACTTTTTCCTTCTCAACTGCCTGTTTATATTCTTTGTCCCTTTTTATATATTTTCATGCTAATTTTTTTTTTTTGTACCAGGGATTGAACTCAGGGGCACTCAACCACTGAGCCACATCCCCAGCCCTATTTCTATATTTTATTTTGAGACAGGGTCTCACTGAGTTGCTTAGTGCCTCGCTTTTGCTGAGGCTGGCTTTGAACTTGTGATCCTCCTGTCTGAGGCTCCTGACCTGCTGGGATTACAGGCATGTGCCACTGTACCCAGCTTCATGTTAATTTTTAAAGTAGATTTCTATATTATGGAAATTAGCTTGTCAGGTGTGTTATAGATATTTTCCTCTGGTTTGTCATTTACATTTTTGTGGATTTGTCTGTTCCTTTTTAATTTCTAGAATAAAAATTATTAAACTTCTTTAAAGAGTCTGGGTTTTATTCTTTATATATTTAGAAAAGCTTTCTAACTATTATTATTATTATTATTAAAATGTTTTTAGTTATAGATGAACACAATACCTTTATTTATGGTGCTGAGGATTGAACCCAGTGCCTCACACATACTAGGCAAGTGCTCTACCACTGAGCTCCAGCTCCAGCCCCTCCCATATTATTTTTTAAAACACAGAAATTTCTGTCTAGGACTTTGACAGTTTTATTTTTATTTATTTATTTTTATTTTTTTGGAACTAAGGATTGAACCCAGGGGTGCTTAACCATTGAGTCACATCCCCAACCATTTTATTTTTTATTTTGAGACATGGTCTCACTAAGTTGCTGAGACAGGCAATTAGACTGAAAATGCTTCCTTCTCTGATATTAGTGAACTGTTTTGAGTGAAATGTCTTTTATATTTTCCCAAATTTTCTATGAACATTCATATTTTCAAATTGATATTATGACATTATATATATAATATCTATGTATATATAGGTATTAATATATAAATAATATCTATGTATATTATATCTAATATCTAATAATATATATGTACCTTTAATGTTAAAGACAACTTCTCATTTATTATAGTTATGTTTCCCAATTTGTCATATGCTTTTAAATTAATATGCTTTGCAATATAATTCAAATATTTTATTCAATCAAGTCAAGAAATCTTGATTGTAATTTATTTCATTATTAAAAAAAAAATCCTCCCTGCAGAGACCAGATACTTATTTCAAGTTATTTTATTTTTTGGTAGTGGAGATTGAATCCAGGGGCGCTGTACCACTGAGCTACATCTCCTGCTCTTTTTATTTTGAGAAAAGGTTTTGCTAATTTGCTTAGGATCTTGCCAAGTTGCTGAGATTGGCCTCGAATTTACAATCCTCCTGCCTCAGCCTGCGGAATTACTAGTATTATAGGCTTGTGCTTCTATGCACAGCTTTCAAGTTATCTTTTAAAAAAAGCTTCCAGTTTGCATGCTCTAGAAGTTAAAATATTATTGTTTTTTAAGTTAAAATGTAAAGAAGATGGAATGTTTCTGTCATGAATTCCCTTTTTTGTTCACAGTGCCTCCATATTACATAAGTACTCTACCATTGAGCTACAACCCCAGCCCCAGATGAAGTGCTTTTACATGGCGTTTCCTCTGTATTTTTATGATTATACATTAAGAATGTAAAATTTTATATTAAAAGTGTTTTTGAGCTGGGCGCAGTGGCACATGCTTGTAATCAATCCCAGCTGCTTGGGAGGCTGAGACAGGAGGATCACAAATTCAAAGCCAGCCTCAGCAAAAGCAAAGTGCTAAGCAACCCAATGAGACCCTGTCTCTAAATAAAATACAAAACAGGGCTGAGATGTGGCTCAGTGGTTGAGTTCAATCCCTGGTACCCTCCTCCTCCCCCAAAAAAGTGGTTTTCTAGTTTAAAGTTATTTTAATCTATGGGTATTTTTGCACATTGTTTTTTTCCCCAAATAGTAACTGAATTTCAATAATTCTGCTGTAAAAAATTACCAGTGTGTGTTTGAGAGATGAAGCTATGTGAAGACAGAAAAATTAAATTGCTTTGCTATTTAAAAATATTCAACATGCATAAGTAAAAGTGATGAGAGATACCACTTATTGGATACATTGAGACAGGTATTGAGATTTACTCATTTTTAAAAATCATTTAAGATCAAGTTGTTCCTTTCTCTACACCATTTACTGCTTCTAAGTCACTCTACAAAAAATTTAGTAAGTTTAGGGATTCAGGTAACTTTGCTCATTTAAAAGTAAAACAAGCTCTCTTTATCTAATCAAATGACTCAGAGCTATATCAAGTATCACTGATTAAATGGAAATCATCAATCATTACATTCCTTTAAGTCTTGCAGAATCTTCTAGGAAAGCATTTCCCAACTTAATGCAGTTTCCTCAGCTTTGCAAATGTTCTATTTTAGGCTTGTCAATAATTAAACAACTAGTTAGTACTAGTAATAGGACTATTTACCTTTAATGAAGCACGTGAACTTCCTGGAGGTGGAATCTTTTTCTCCCCTACCTCCTAGAAGTGCTTCTTTTTTTTTTTTAGAGAGAGAGAATTTTTTTAATATTTAATTTTTAGTTTTCGGTGGACACAACATCTTTGTTTATATGTGGTGCTGAGGATGGAACCGGGCCTTACGCACGCCAGGTGAGCGGGCTACGGCTTGAGCCACATCCCCAGCCCCTAGAAGTGCTTCTTAAAAATGGGCAACCACATCTTTTCTGAAACAAGAATAAAAATACCTGGCGTGGAGCTGAACATGGTAGTGTCAGCCTGAACCAGCATAAAATAAAATTAGCTGTAGTAACAAAGTTTTGTGGTTCTTTGCCTCCAGATCCTTTTCTGCATGGACTTGTATTTTGAGAGGAGGCCTTCAAAACAAACAAAAAATTTAAAAAGGCTGTTTCTCTTTGCAAAACTCAGGATTTGTTTCTTTTTCTTTCTTTCTTTTTTTTTTTTTGTGGTGCTGAGAATTGAACCCAGGGCCTTGCGCATGTGGGGCAAACACTCTACCAACTGAGCTATATCCCCAGCCCTGTTTCTTTTTCTTATACCTTAATTAAATTTGTTTAAAAAATTAATTTAAATTTTTTAAATTGTGGTAAAATAGACCTCATATTTACCACCATTTTTAAAATTTATTTTGTATTGAATTAATATTTTAATTAATTTAAATATTAAATTTTTTATTAATTGAATATTTTACCAATAAGGTTCAGGGACAAAGAACATTGACGATTTTGTGCAACAAGCCATCTCGAGAGTTCTTCATCATCCCTAATGAATTCTGTACCACTGAGCCTAATTCACCAGTAGCCCTCTTACCAACCCTGGCAACCAATTATTTTCTGTCTGTATGAATTTGACTATTCTAAGTACCTTATATAAGTGGAGTCATAAAATCTCCCTCCATCTGGCTTATTTTACTTAGCATAACATCCTCAAGGTTCATCCATCTTGAAGCAGGTTTCAGAATTCCCTTCCCTTTTAAGGTTAAATAGTAGTCCTTTGTATGTATGATACACATTTTGATTAACCATCTACCTGATGATGGCCATTTAGCTTGTTTCCACCTTTTGACTTTTGTGAATAGCGTTGCTGTGCAGTGGTGTAATCAACTGAGTAGTGTCCTAAGTCGCAGTGACTACCTCTTCCCATTTCCTCCTTATCAGCATTGTTACCTTAGCCACCTCGGCCTCCCAGGTGTAAACAGATTTTTTTTTAAAATCCCCTTTACCTTTACCCTTTCCTCCTTGGCTGGACTTTGTCCAACCGGGTTTATTTATAAACCGTGCCCAGCTCATTAAGAAGACAAAGCATTCAGCAAGTCACATTTCCACCTTCATTCCTCCAGGAGGGCACTCTGAAGAGCTAAGTCGGGGGACACATGGCAGAAGACAAAAGGAAGAGCGACTCCATCCAGATGAGCATGAAGGGATGTCGGACAAACAATGGGTTTGTCCAGAATGAAGACATCCCAGAGCTAGACCCGGATCCAGGCAGTGCCGTGGGCAGCCTACAGCACAACGCCGTGAGCATCCCAGGCCCCCAGGAGTCTGAGTTGCAGGTCATCCGGCCCTATGCCGGGATGCCCAAGGAGGTGCTGTTCCAGTTCTCCAGCCAGGCCCGCTACCGGGTGCCCCGGGAGGTCCTCTTCTGGCTCACGGTGGCTACTGTGCTCCTGCTCATTGGGGCCACTATAGCCATCATTGCCATCTCTCCAAAGTGTCTTGACTGGTGGCAGGTGGGGCCCATGTACCAGATCTATCCGAGGTCTTTCAAGGACAGCGACAAAGATGGGAATGGAGATCTGAAAGGTGTGTGTTACTGGACAGTGCAGGGAGGGGGCCGGGATGGGTTGATTTATGGCTCTCCCCTTCCTTGAAATCGAATTATGCCTAGGTTTCCCAGTAAGCACATTCCAGTTTGGCTTATCACCCAAGATTTTCCTTGTTTATGATATTTTTTAAATTGCTCAGCAGAACTCAGCAATCTTTCCCCTTGATGAAAAGCAATTTGCTGAAGGCTTTTGAGCCAAGAGTTTAATTTATTGCCCACTAAATTCAGAAGCTTGTTTGGTCATCAGTTCTGACTGCTGAACCGGAGCAGGTTTTCTCTGAAAATCTGTCTCTTGCTTCTCTGAACTTTATGGGTGGATATTTCAGAGTGACAGCTGAGAAGTGCTTGCCCAGTGTATGATGTGGCTTGTTTGGCATCTGGCTGAGAGTTTATTAATAAAACACAAATAATAATTTACAAAAGTATTAAATGCTGTCTTTAAAAGGCTGAATCTTCAAATTTAAATCCTAAGAAATGAAGGGAAAGAATAAACACAGCAGTGTGTGTTGATTGTTACTTGGATGAAAGATTATTTAAAATAATATCCATATTAGTAGAAAAGTAGAAAGTGAAAAAAAATGGGGGGGGGGGGGTGGTTACTGGGTATTGAACTCAGAGGCATTCAACCATTGAGCCACATTCCCAGCCCTATTTTATATTTTATTTAGAGAGAGTGTCTCACTGAGTTGCTTAGCACCTTGCTGTTGCTGAGGCTGCCTTTGAACTCGAAATCCTCCTGCCTCAGCCTCTGGAGCTGCTAGGATTACAGTTGTGCACCACTATGCCTGGCTTGAAAAAAATGTTTAATCTCTTGATTTTATTATTTATTTATTTATTTATTGTTGGCCCAGGATTGAACCCAGGGGTTCTTAATCACTGAGCCACATCCCCAGCTCTTTTTTATTTTTATTTTGAGACAGGGTCTTGCTAGGTTGCTTAGGGCCTTGCTATGTTGCTTAGGCTGGCTTTGAACTCGCAATCCTCCTGCCTCAGCCTCTAGAACTGCTGAGGTTACAGGTGTGAACCACTGCATCTGGCTGAAAATTTATTTTTTTAAAGTTAAGCTAATTTCTTGGGGTGCTATTTGTGATTTTAAGAGTAAAATTGTGGGGCTGGGGATGTGGCTCAAGCGGTAGCGCGCTCGCCTGGCATGCGTGCGGCCCGGGTTCGATCCTCAGCACCACATACAAACAAAGATGTTGTGTCCGCCGAGAACTAAAAAAAAAAAAGAGTAAAATTGTGGCATAAAATGGGGCTATTAGGCAAACTGGTCTGTGTAGGCACCCTAGTTAAGGGCAACAATAAGAAACAAGTAAATAGACTAACTAGTGCTTTTTTTTTTTTTAACCATGATTATTTGCTTGAGAAAAATAAAACAAGATGATATGATATAGTGTGAAAAGTAGGAATGGGCTTAATTTATTGTTAAAATGTTGGACGTAAACTCTTGAAATCCTCAAATTTCTTTAATAACCTCATGAAAAAGACCTTTCTTCTGCCTCACTCATATCAGATCTGCCCCCTTCCCCACTTCCTTTTGAGGCCCTGGGGATCACACCCAGGGCCTGTGCACACACCAGGCAAGTTCTCTACCTTGAGGCAATGGTTGCTTCCTAAAAGCTCCAGCCTCATTTTCTCTTTTTACAAAACCTTCCTGCATCTTCACTAATTGAAGAAGTGTATTTGTCCATCCAGGTGTGGCTTAAACATTAATCTTTATTAAACATTAATGAATGCCTTCATTAATCTTTGTTTAACTTTCCTAATCAGAGCTTGAGCTGCCTCCCCAGATTCCTGTGGTGCTTTGGGCAGTGTCTATAGTTCCCTTTGATACTCCCTTGGAACACTTGTGAGTGACTTCCCTTCCCTTGCTACATGACCTTAACACCTGCTGCCTCTCATAGTAAATGGTTAGCAAAAGTGGTGTTTTGACTGAATAGTGCTCAAATCCCTAAATCCAGAGATACACTCCTCACTTCCTGGCCCTACCTTCTTAATCTTCTTCCAAATAGACACCACATTCCCCTACATAAGAGCTAATCAGCTCTTCCATTTTTAATTTCCAGTAACTTTTCCTTGAGGGAATGATTGCTTCCTATGATCAACAGGCATTGGTCCTTGAGGCTGAAGGGATTTTTTTGTTACTGTTAGGAAGAAACCATCTCAGGTTAGGGTTTGTGATCGCCCTCTGTTCTTCACCCTCAGGCTGGGAGCCCTGCTTACTTTGTGTTTGTCTACCCCTTTGTTTTCATTATCACATGTTCCTTTGTTTGTGTGGTGAACCCAGGGTTTAGCACATGCTCTACCCTTGAACCACACCCCTTGCCCCTGTATATCTTGTTTTTAAGATATACTGCATTGCTGTTCTGGTTTAAATCAAAACTCTTTTGTTGCCTGTTGCTACTCTGATCATATAGCCACCTGTATTGGGGAATCAAGTACAAGAAGACAAAAGTAAGCAGCTTGTGTAGGGTAAGAGCCCAGATCCCAGGGTCAAATGACTTTGTGCTTTGGTTTCAGTCATCTCCAGACTGAGATAGCAATTTGGGAATAAAGGGAAAGATTCTGAGTCTCAAAGAAAGTACCCATGAGGAATTTCAACTCCTGATCCATATGCTCTTGGCCCTTGCCCTTGACCCATGCCCTTGTAACATGAGGACAATGCACAAGTGCAAGGGGAAACTTTCATAGCCTCCACCTGTAGTCCAGACCTAGCACCTGCCCTCACCAACAGGCCACTGTCTCTCCCTCTGGATAGACAAATTCTCTCTCAAATGTGTATTTCTTGCTTTATTCCAAAGATGTCTCTTTTGAGATTGCCCTCATCCTTCCTTGAATATGTATCTACTTTCCTAAATAAACCTCTGTCTGTACCTTTGCCTGGAACAAATTCTTTTCCATCATACATGTCAAGAACCCCAGTGGTCCTGAGTGAAGTTTCTCCTCCACTCTGGGAACTCCATGGACACTTCCTCTGAAACATATTTTTCTCTGTGTGGCCTCTGCTGTGATCTAGGAAGCCACATGGAGATCACACAGAAAGTTACTAGAAATTGAACAGACTTGAGTCTGAGTCTGCATTTAGGACTCTGACCTATAAGCAAAAACGTGCCATCTCTTAATTATCCACAAAGTTCCAAGTACAGACTTTCACCTCCATATCTCTTCCCATATCTCTAGGTAAATTCTTGGCTTCCTACATAAGTGAACAAAAAAGGATCCAGATTTCAGCTTGCTGTAAAGATAGTCTGAGAGCAGAATGAAAGACCTTTCAAATATTAGTGCACACTTACCTTACACCTCTTGGTGTACTCTCTCCCTAATCCCTATGCTGCAGGCAACATTTTTCACTGTTGTCTATTCATTTATTTATTGTGCTGGAGCCCAGGACTCACCCCTTTTAGGACAAGTCCTCTGTGTCTGGTTTTTCCTTTCCTTTGCTACAAAGCCTTCCCTGTAAATAACCCACCTTTACCTTTGCCCACCCATCCCCATCAGCTGCCTGTTTCCTGAAGGGCCAGGGAGCAAACACCTTAGTGCCCTTAAAGCACCTTACACAGCTCTTCTTGGTTCAATTTTCATTCCATTCCTGCCTGTTTACACTCAACTATCACAGCACAGTCCAAAGGAATCTAATGGGCACCACATTTTTAGAAGTTAAAAAAAAAAAAAGGAAACAGGTGAAATTATTCGAATAATATATTTTTCTCACTCCAGTATATCTAAGATATCATTTCAACATGTAATTAGTATAAAATATTAATATTTTACATCTTTTCATACTGGGTTTTAAAAAATCTCATGTGCATTTTACCCCTACAACATATCTAAGTTCACACTAGTCACATTACAGGTGCTCAGTAGCCACATGTGGCAAGTGGTGATGGTGTGGACCAGTGTGGCTTAGACCACTCATTCACCAGGGACCATGTGTTATTGACCATGACCTTGGCACCTAGTCAAGTACCTAGCTTGGAAACCATGCATAGAATAAATTAATATTACTGTATTAATGTTTTTTAAAAAAATTTGAGCAAGTAACAGATCTTTTAATGTCAGACACCTATGTTAAAGGTCAAAGGTTATTGCTAGAAGATCAATTTGATGTTATTCAAAGAACTAGGCCTTGCTATGTGAATTTTACTCAAACTCAACAAAATTTCAAATATATTTCTACTTTTAAAAAATATTTAGTTCTTGCTAGGTATGGTGGCGCATCCCTGTAATCCCAGCGGCTGGGGAGGTTGAGACAGGAGGATTGCAAACTCAAAGCCAGCCTCAGGCAAAAATGAGGTGCTAAGCAACTCAGTGAGACTCTTTCTCTAAATAAAATACAGAATAGGTTTGGGGATGTGGTTCAATAGATGAGTGCCCCTGAGTTCAATCCCTGGTAACCCCCCCCAAAAAAAAAAATTTAGATCTTATAAATATTAATTTTATTTTTAATCTTTTATATAAACAAAATAGGACTTATTCATGACCTTGGCTTTTTTCTTCAGGTATTCAAAATAAACTGGACTACATCACTTCTTTAAATATAAAAACTGTTTGGCTTACTTCATTTTATAAATCATCCCTAAAAGACTTCAGATATGCTGTTGAGGATTTCCAAGAAATTGATCCTCTTTTTGGAACAATGACAGATTTTGAGAATCTTGTTGCAGCCATACATGATAAAGGTAAATTGAATGGGAGGTGGATGGCATAGGGGTGAGGGTTGAAATAAGCACTTCTCTAAATGCTCAGCTAACACATTTCCCCCCCTTAACTGTCATATATCATCCTAATAAAATGTTTTTCTAATATTTGAAATGTTTTCACTTATTAGGTTTAAAATTAATCATCGATTTCATACCGAACCATACCAGTGATAAACATGCCTGGTTTCAATTGAGTAGGACACAGACAGGGAAATACACTGATTATTACATCTGGTGTGACTGTACTCATGAAAATGACATTACTATCCCACCCAACAACTGGGTAAGTGTCAGCCTGCCTGACTTGCACAGGGAAATGGGCAAATCTGTGGGATTCAACTGGTGATTTATGAAGCCTTTTAAGGAAAACTGAGATGAATATAGTTTATGGGGACATGGGGGAAAAATTAGACATAAAAATAGAATAAATTTCCCTAGTATCATTTAGATTTCTGATTTCATTGTAGAATTGGTGTGTTCTAGCAAATTAAAACCTATTCTCACTACTAGCTTCTCCTTTCTTTCCCTCTCTCCCCACTTGAGCAGCTTGGAGTCCATGTCCCATTTGTTCAATAACTGTTTTGCAGATGTGTTGCCTCTTTGAAAAATTTTTTTGGTAGTTGTAGATGCACAGAATGCCTATATTTTATTTGTTTGTTTGTTTGTTTATTTATTTATTATTGTGGTGCTGGGGATTGAACCTAGTCCCCCAAGCATAACCAAGCAAGCGTTCTGCCATTGAGCTACAGCCCCAGCCCAACTCTTTTTGACTTTTTGACTCTCATGTTTGGACAAAACTTTGGCCATAAAGAAACCCAATTGTCTGCTTTCTCTTTGTTTGAACTTTGGTATTTGAACTCTGGACCCATCTCACATTCATTATCCCCACCTGAACTGAGCCACTAAATCTTCTTGAGAAATTTACTAAATCCAACTAATCAACATGCCCTTCCCTTTCTCTTCAAACACTCTCTCTGCCTCCTTCCTATCTTATGACTCTCAGAGAAAACTCTGCTCCACAGAGAGAAGAAAAGCCATCAGAGCTGCAGGTCCCCATTCCCACCCTTTTCCTACTTGCTATTTTTAACAATAGGAGTTACTTCCTTTCTGTCTAGAGGACTTGACTTAGCAAATAAAAATTTAGGATATCCAGTTAAGTCTGAGATTTAGTTAAACAGTATATAATTTTCTATTATAAAAGATTGTATAGGCTATACTTATGCAGTCAGCTGTCTGTATCTGTGGATTCTATATCTGCACATTCAATCAACTGCATATAGAAAATATTTGGAAAAAAGTTGTATCTGTATTGAATTAGTACAGACTTTTTTCTGATCATTATTCCTTAAACAATACAACTATTTACATAGCACTTACAGTTTATCAGGTAGTATAAATAATCTAGAAATTATTTAAAGTATAGGGGAGCATTTGCATAGGTTATATTAAATACTGTGTCATTTTAATGTGAGAGACTTAGGCATCTGCAAATTTTGGTATCTGAACCAGTCTCCCATGGATGCTGAGGAGTGCTCTACTAAAATACTATGCATTGTTTTCTGAAATTTAGATTTGTTTGAGTCCTATATTTCATCCAGCAGCTCTACATCTGTCCCAGGCCACATCTTTGTTTTTCCTCCTAGGTCTTTTACTCTGGACCATCTTACCCTACTCCAGTCTCTTCTTCTTCTTCTTCCTCTTCCTCCTCTTCTTCTTCACCTCTTCCCCTCCTCTCACTCTTCCACCCTTCCTTCCTTTTTTTTTTTTAAATACTTGAGCCTAGGGGTGTTTTACCATGGAGCGATATCCCCAGTCCTTTTTACTTTTTATTTTTGAGACAAGGTCTTACTAGGTTGCTGAAAATCATCCTAAGTTACTGAGACCGGCCTTGAATTTGCAATCCTCTTGACTCTAATCTCCGGAGTTGCTGGAATTACAGGTGTATGCTGCTACACCCAGTTCTTTTTCTCTTCTTGATCTTCTCTGTTAACATTTAAACATGCTGGTTTCTGGATATCAACTTTGAGGAATTATTGGCCAGACTTTTTTCTATTTTCATTTGTGTGAATATAAAATAGTATATTGAGGTCTAAATTTTACATTTATCTAATAACTAGTGATGATTTATCAAGTTGCTAATGTAATTATATACTTACTAATGATGTTGAACATCTTTTCATATAGTTATTCATCTGCGCTTCCTTTTCTGTGAAATACCTGCTTTCATTCCCTAGTTCTCTTTAGGATTGCTTGTCCCTGTTGCTTTCTGGAGGCCTCTTTGCATTCTGGATCCTGGTCTTTTGTTGGTTAGACACACAAAAATAGATATCTCATTGTGGTTTGTGTCCAGGCAGCCATGTGGTGAACTTACAGTTTATCAGGTAGTATAAATAATCTAGATATGTTTTCTTGAAAGGCAGCAGCTGTTACTCAGCTTTGACCAACTGCCATAGAAATACAGATCCATGTGACTACATCTTCCAACTAAAAGGAAAAAGATTCATGTAAAATCCCCCAGTTTTTCAGTGCTTTCTAGATGCTGTGTTTAGCATGAAATGAGATAGAGCCCAAGAAACCTTCATGTTTAAGGGGTCATTGCATACACCAAGAGGAAGGGGCCAGAGACTGAGAGTGGGGCATGAGAGGAGAGTCTTGACATGGAACCATGAACCTGAGCATTTCTAGAAAGAGGAAATTAGCCACAGTGTCAAATACCACTAGGTACCAACACTTGAAGTTGCTAGATTTTTATTCCTGAGGACTGGCAGGGTTTATTAAAGAATAGGTCTAATAAATTTTTTTTATAACTATAGTTTGAATATTCAGTATATTGGGTTCAAGCTTCAAGACCAATAGAAATTGTCTTTTTCCCATGTTGACCCCATTTGCTTTTCTTTACAAACAGGAAGCCAAAGCCTGGACAGAGGATTCAAGAAAATATGTTAGCAATGTCTGTTCCTTAAGTTGGTCTTGTTTTGAATTTGAGAGCATTGGCTTGTCATTGCGACTGTTATGAATAGCATCTACTGGACAGACAGGTCACAACCATGTTTATGGGGCATTAGGCCAACTGGTGACATTTTGGGGAGTTAATTTAGCTTAATACTTGCCCTAGAAGGAGAATTCTCATGATTTAAATACTCTGCCCACACGGGGCCTGGGATGGCTGTGATCATTTCTTTGTAGGCAAAACCATCATATGAATAATGCTAAGTTACTGATGTGCTGTTTTGTTTCTTTGCTAGTTAAGTGTGTATGGAAACTCCAGTTGGCACTTTGATGAAGTGCGAAAGCAATGTTATTTTCACCAGTTTATGAAAGAGCAACCTGATTTGAATTTCCGAAATCCTGCTGTTCAAGAAGAAATAAAAGTGAGTATAGATACTCTTCATTAATGAGAGTGGTTATTTTAAACACTCTATATTGAACAATAATTTTGCAGGAAAAATAAAAGTAGTACAGTTAAATTCTCAGATTAAGATGTTTGATGCAAATAAAGACACTTTTATTTGTTGGTGACTCCTTTCTTCATCTAACCCAGAATAATCTAAATGGAAGGGGGTAAGAAACACCTGGTGCCTTAGTGACAATTGGCAGGTGCAGGAAGGTGGGGCCAGATGAGGGCTCCCACATCTGCGGTGGGCCTCTGGGTGAATTATTTGGCTTTTCTTTTCTTTTTAATTGTTGATGGACCTTTATTTTACTTATTTTTATAAGTATTTATTTTTATTTTTATTATATTTATTTTACTTATTTTTATAAGTATTTATTTTTATTTTTATTTTGAGGACCGAACCCAGTGCCTCACACATGCTAGGCAAGCGCTCTACCATTGGGCTACAACCCTAGCCCTTATTTGGCTTTTCTATGCCTCAGATCCCTCATTCATTAAACACATTTGATGGTAGTATTGGACTCAGAGGGCTCTTAGGAAGATTAGATGAGATAATCCATGCATGGCACTTCTGTATTCATTCAGTAAATATTAACTCACTGCCTGCCTACCCTGTGCCAGGCCCTGAGTACTGGGAAAACAGCAGTGAATAAAAGAAGCCCTACCCTCAATGAGTCCCTTGTGTGGGTAAAGTAGACAATGAAGAACTGTGCCTATCACATGTCAGGTTGTGGTGAATGCTAAGGGAAGGTGACTCAGACATACACCAGGGATGAGGTACTGCCTGACAACCACCTGAAGTGTGAAAGGGAGTCCTGGAATTGAACCCAGAGGGGCTTAACCACTGAGTCACATCCCTTGCCCTTTGTATTTTTTGTTTTGTGATTAGGTCTTGCTAAATTGCCTTAGCTGCCAGAGTTGCTAGAATCACAGGCATGCGTCACCATGCCTGAGCCCTGTGCCTCTCTAGGGGAAGAGAATTTCAGGCAGAGGGCAGAGCAAGTGCAGAGATCTGGAGGGGAGAGTATGGTTCATGTGTTTCAGGAATGACATGGAGGCCAGTGTATAGGCTTGCCAGAAATAGCAAATACAAATACAGGATACCTGGTTAAAATTTCAATTTCAGATACATAGTGAATAATATAATGCTTGGATATATATACTTCTACTATAAAAGTATTCATCGGTTCCTTGATATTAACAAGGTGTCCTTTATCTTTTATCTGGCAGCCCTACAAGTGTGCTGGAGATACAAGAGGGCAGGAGGCAGGAAGCAGAGGTTGCAAAATCAAGAGCTGAGGGCTCTGCAGATGGCCTTGAGTTTGATGGAAGGGCACATGCTGAGCCAGTGAAGATTCCTTTGGGGCTCTGTAGGCAGGAAAGTTTCTGTAGTAACCCCGGTGATCTCTGGTGGGCTTGTACTGGCGTGGTACAGACAGTTCTAGTGATTGGCAGTAAGTAGTAGCCATGTTGTTCTCATTCTTGTGCTGCTGCTGTGGCCAGAGCGGGCAGGAATTTAGCTGAGTGGGGTAGTGCTTGGGGGAGGGAGGAGGGAGGAGGACACCCAAACAGAATGGAGAGCCATGGGTGCCCTTCTGCATCTCACCATATCAGCCAAATAGAGAGGATGCAGGACACTAGGGGCACTGGAATCCTTAGTTTATTTTTCCTTTATTTGTTCTTAAATAACAGTTTCTTGGAATATAATAATTCACATACCATAAAAATTTTTCAAATGGGTGATTCAGTGGTTTTAGTATATTCAGAGTTGTGCGACTATCACTATTAATTTTCCAGTGCATTTTCATCATGCCAAAAAGAAATTCCAAACCCATCAGCAGTCATTCTCCCTAACCTCCTGATACCCACCGCCCCCACCAAGGCTTTGGCAACTAATCTACTAATTTGCCTACTGAGGACATTTCACATAAGTGGAATCAGAAATTATCTGTTTATATTTTATATAGCTTAGCTTATTTATCTATCCATCCATCCATTCATATATTTATCCATACATCCATCTATCTTTACATGAAAACTGCCAAAGTTGTTTTCAATAGCCACTGCACCACTTTACATTCCCATTAGCAATTTATAAAGGTTTCCATTTCTCTACATTCCCACTGGCAATACTTGTTATTGCCTATGAGTTTTTGTTTGTTTGTTTTCTGGTACCAGGGATTGAACCCAGGCATACTTAAACACTGAGTCACATCTCCAGCCCTTTGTTTATTTTATTTAGAAACGGTATATTACTAAGTTGTTTAGGGCCTTGCTAAGTTGCTGAGGCTGACTTTGAACTCATGCTTCTCCTGCCTGAGCCTCCTGAGCCCAAGCTGCATCACCGTGCTCAGCTTATGTTTTCATTATAGTTATCCTACTGTGGGTGAAGTGTCATCTCATTCCAGGTTATATTTGTATTTGCCTCTTTTCATGTGCTCATAGTTTACTTATGTATCTTCATTGCAGAAATGTCTATTCAAATCCTTTGCCCATCTAAAAACAGGCTTATTTGTCTTTTTATTATTGGGTTGTAAGAGTTCTTTATATATTTTAGACACATGATTTGCAAATACTTTTCTTCTGTTCTGTGGGTTGTCTTTTAACTTTCGTGATGTAGCCCTTTGAAGCATAAGAGGTCTTAATTTTAATATGTCCAATTTCACTTTTTTTCTTTTATTGTATTGCTATGAAAAGCTCAGTCCTTGTCCCCAGTGACAATTTAATAAGGAAGAGACATGGTTTTGAGAAAAAAGGAAAAAGAAGGTTTATTGCTTTGCTAACAAATGAGAAGCACAGGGGATTCTTGTCCTAGAGTCTGTGATTCTCTCCATAAGGGAAAGCAGAGGGCTTTTAAAGAAGCTCTTTAAAGGCTGCTTTCCAGGTGCGCCCTGGTGGTGTGTTGAAATTCACTTGTTAATTTGGGAGATAGTCACTTCCTAGATCTTTAGGAGATGTCTCTTTCCTGTGGTGTGCTCAAGGACAGATAACAATGCCTAAGATGGGAAAAGGTAATCTTGTTTCACACCCTCGAATTAGGGAAGGGGAGAGGGAGAAGAGAAAAAGAAAAATATGTTCCTTTTAAAATAAACAGTAGAGTAGACCAGTGTTGCAGTATGTGCTTTCATCGTGATGTTTGTTTTATTTATTTTTTTAAAATTTATTTATTTTAATTAGGTATATATGACAGCAACTCTAATTGAAAGCCAACTGGCCATAGATGTATAGGCTTATTTATTTTTAGACTTGCAACTCTGTTCCATTCATGTTTATGTCTACTTTTATGGCAGCACCACACAGCACCACAACATCTAGAAATGTTTAAGCTAGTGTCATTCATTTTGTCACAATGTGCCAGCCAAAACACTAATGATTCTTTGACTAACCTGGCTGTTCATTTGTAGGTATCCAAGTAGTTAGATTTGTGACTAGGATTCTGATTCCCTAGTCCCTTAGAATGAAAGTCTTCAAATAAGGGATCACTACTACCCCTGGTTAACAGGTTAGACATTATTTAAAAGGCAGTTTTGGAAGATTTACTATTAAAAGTAAATAAGAAATAAGGAGAAGCTGGGGGGGGGGGGGTACTTTGTTCCTGGAAATGGATCTTTCACTTGAAGAGGACTTCCAACATCCTCCTGCCCCTTATCTCTGCAGTAGAGTTAATAACAGGTTAATAATTTGCAATCCAGATAGTTTGTGGCCAGGAGGCATTTGGAATGACTCCTGCTTGCATTCCAACTGGCACCAGTGAAGTCAGAGCCTTTGCCTTCAGCTCCTGGCAGTTCAGTTATCTGCACAGGGGGAGGCTACCCTACAGGGGGCATCCAGCATGAACACCCTCCTCACTCCTCAGTCTCCTTCTTTCCCACTGGCTATCAGGGGACTTGGCCTGCCCCTGGCCTCCCAGTGCTTGAGTGCCTGATACTGGAGAAATCAGGAAACCTTCTCAAAGAAGTTGGGGGCTTCTGTTTGTATAGTAGCATTTATACATTTCCAGTCACTTTGAGTTTTACTTGCCTCCAAATCATTTTTTAGATAAATAGGAAACAATTACAGTAAGGTGAAGTGGCCCACTAGGACAGTCATATAGCAAGGAAGAGACTCCAGGTGGCCTGGCTCCATGTCTGGCTTGGTGTTATCCTGACCTGCCATGTGGGAATGCTCAGCACTGGAGTGGGGACCCCTGGGGAGTCATGATACTCCCTGCAGCTGGGGATGAGAAGCCAAGAGGCACTCCCAGCTTAAGATGGAACCCAGAGCATAAGCATAGGTTCTGCTTTTCCATTACTGAACACAGTGCTGCTGGAGGTGGGCAGCTCAATTTAAAACACAGTTCACTCATAGCCAGGTGTGGTGGCTCATGCCTGCAGTCCCAGCCATTTGGGAGTCTGAAGCAGGAAGATCACAAGTTCAAGGTCCTGAGCAACTCAGTGAGACCTGTCTCTAAATAACATACCACATAGAGCTGGGGATGTGGCTCAGTGGTTGAGTGCCCCTGGGTTCAATCCCTGATACCAAAAAAAAAAAAAAAAAGGGACAGGGGATATAGTTCAGTGATAAAGCCTCCCCATTGGTTCAATCCTTAGTACCAAGAAATTAAAAATGAAATAAAATATAGTTCACTCACTACCTCCTTTAAACACTAGCTCTACTTGAAGATAATTATACCCTTTATTACACCTTCTATATGCCAGGTGCTCTGTTATGATCATGTACTCATTTCACTGTGTTTTAGTCAGCTTTTTTTTTTTTTTTTGCCTCTGTGACTAAAAGTCCTTACCAGAACAATTTTAGAGGAGGAAAAGTTTATTTATGGGCTCACACTTTCAGAAGTCTGAATCCATAGAAAGCTGGCTTCATTCCTTAGGGCTCGAGGTGAGGCAGAACAATCATGGCGGAGAGTGTGTCGGAGGAGAGCAGCTCACAGGATGATCAGGAAGCAGAGAGATCTTCCTGTTGCCAAATATGAATATATACCCCAAAGCCATGCCCCAGTGCTCCACCTCCTTAGCCATATCCTACCTGCCTTCAGTTACCACTCAATTAATCCCATCAGGTGATTAATTCACTGATTAGGTTAAGACTTTCATAACCCAATAATTTCTCCTCTGAACCTGCTTACATTGTCTCACTCATGAGCTTTTGGGGGATACCTCACATCCCAACCATAACACACTGTATGTGTAGTGTGTTGGCCATGTGCTAGGAGTAGGGTGGTTGAAAAGATACATATTGTGACTGTCATGGGACTTGTATTGTGAGGGGAGGTAACAAACAGTGATTACAATAGAGTGTTCTGAGTGGTCATGACAGTGGAAGTAGGAGTAGAGAGGACTGGCACTTCACCCAGACAGAGTGGGAGAGATCAGGGAAGGAGCAATTTGCACAGGAGCCAATGATGTCAGGGATGAACTGGAGCAAGCCAAGGGAAGAGGCATGGGTGGGTGTGTTTCAGGGAGAGCATGAATCATGGCATGGCAGTGGTGCTGGGAGTTATCAATATGGCTGGAACATGGTGTATATATAGAGAGTGATCTGATCCAGTGAGACTAGAGTGGTCAGCAGGGGCTGAGTCATGAGCAGCACTGAAAGTTCTGGTAAGGATTTGAATTTAAAAGGTTTTAGGCAGGAATATTTGCATATTGAATAATCAATGTAGTTTTGGGGAATGGGTTTGAGTAAGTCAGGTTTGGAGGCAGAGGGCTCAGGGAGGAGGTCAGTGCAGTAACGTGGAAATACTTGGATCAGCAAGGGTGTTGTGGGGTGTAGAGAAGTCATTAGAACTTAAGAGTTCAATATGAGTTCCAGGTTTCAGAGTCGAATACTGGTCGGGTGTGGTGCCATTTGCTAAACTGGAAGATGCAAGAATAGGAAGAAGGGCATTGTTGGGTGGAGTTTGAGCTCTCTGTGAGACATTCAAGGGTCCAGTGGAGAGCTGGATATAAGGATATGGGAATTGGGGAGTTGTTCTCTAGGCATAAAGTTTGGGATTTGTTGACATATGGATGATGCCAGTGTGTGACTCCTCACGCTGCAGACTTCACTTCCATTCTATCAAGAATTCACTGAGGGCCAGGTGCTGTGTCAGAGGCTAAGGAAACAGAACCAACAGCCACTCTTGCCCTCAAGAATTTTCCAGTGAGGTGGAGGAGTCCTTTGTGACCGTTGGCTTATAAGGGAGGGTGGCAGCAGGCTCTGCTTCTGTCCTGGTCACCTATGTTTCTGGAACAAGGGGCAAGCTACTTGACAAATGTTTTTAGGCTGCTAGCTCCCAGATTTATATCTGTGACCACAGCCCTGCCCTAAGCTCCACTTTTTTTTTTTTTTGGTACGGAGGATTGAACCCAGGGATGCTCAACCACCAAGCCACATCCTCAGCCTTTCTTATATTTTAGAGACAGCATCTCACTAAGTTGCTTAGGGCCTTGCTAAATTGCTGAGCTAGCTTTGAACTCACAATCCTCTGGCCTCAGCCTCCCAAGGTGCTGGGATTCCAAGTGTGTGTCACCATGCCCAGCTCCAAGATCTAGATTTCACAAGCTACCAGCCACCTCAGCATCCCCTCCTACATGTGCAGCAGACACCTCAAACTTGATGTGTCTAAGTCAGAACATTCCATCTTTCTCCCTCAACCAGCTGTTGCCTCTGGTGAGTGGCACACGGTCACTCAGTTCAAGAACATAGGGGTTAGTCTTGACCCCTCTTTCTTTCACAATACCCACACACCACCAGCAGACCGGGGAGCTCCACCCTCAGAGCAGATTCAACATCTGCCTTTTCCACTTTGTCTCCCCACTCCAAGCCACCAGGGTAGGCTCCTAAAAGGAGTCCTCAAGGCTGGGGTTTTGGCTCAGAGGTAGAGCACTTGCCTAGCACACGTGAGGCACTGGGTTCGATCCTCAGCACCACATAAAAAATGAAAAATAAAGATATTGTCCACCTATAACTAAAAAATAAATATTTAAAAAACAAAAAGGAATCCTCAGGCTTATTTATTTTTTTTCTTTTGGCAACAGATTTTTTAATATATAATTCACATACCATAAAATTTACCCAAAGTATACAGTTTCAGTTTTTTAGTGAGTTCATAAAATTGTAGAACTATTATCACAACCTAATTTTAGAACATTTCATCACCCCAGAGAAGAAAGCTCGGATGCTTTAGCACTCATTGTTCACCCATTATCCCAACCCCTGGCAACCACTAATGTACTTTTTGTCTCTATAGATTTGCCCGTTCTGGACATTTTATATAAATAGAGTCCTACGATATTTATCCTTTGTGTCTTTCTTTCATTTAGCAAAATGTTTCCAAGATTCCTCTTAAGTTGTAGCATGCACCAGTATTCTGTACCTTTTATGGACAGATAATATTCATTATATGGCTGCGTCTTGGGAGGTGATTTCTGCTTTTTGGCTTTTATGGATCATGCTGCTGTGAACCTCCATTGTGTGCACGGTTTGGTGGGGACCCACATTTTCACCTCTCTTGGATGTGTACCTAGGTGTGGAATTGCTAGGTCTCAGCGTAACCTCCTATTTCACCTTTTGAGGAGCCGTCAGACTGACCAGTTTGTTCTGCATACATCAGATCTTTGAAAGTGTAAGACAAACCATAGGCTTTTCTGCTGAACACCTTCCAGGGGTTTCCTATCCCTGTGCCCAGCAGATCCCAAGTTGATCCCAATAACTACTAAGCTAGATGTGATGAGTCCAACCACCCTGTCCCCTCTCTTCATTGCTCAAGGAATCTGTGCTCTTCCATGTACCTACACACGGCACCATACCTTCCCATGATTCCATACCTCCCCATGGACCATGCCTCCTCGTGTCTTCTCCCTCATTTCTTATTTTCCCTGTTGAAATGTTGCCTACACAATCTAAACTCGCTCTCTGGCCCCCTTTACCCTGTATTGTTTTTCTCATGGTACCTATAAATTACTCGCTACATCATTTGTGGGGCCACATGCAAAATGAAAGTTCAGGGTCTCTTGTTCTAAAATCATTGAAAAGTTCATGGCAATGAAATCAAGAGCTGGAGTATTAAACCAAGCGCAAGGCCCTTCTGAGCCAGGGGCCCAGTGCAGTTGCACAGATCACACACCCATGCCTTCAGCCCTACACCTGAAACTGCCTGGAATGAAAGGAAATCCCGTTTCTCCGCCTCCCATTCATGCATATCCAGAAGCTGCCTCCTCTATCCTCTCCATGTTTCTCACGTCCCATTTCCTTCTTCTCAAGCTCCTTCCTTGAGTGCCATGTTTGCAGTCTTGGTTTCATCTCTTCAGTCATTGGACTCAGCATTGGAGTCCGGGCAGGCCAGGCACAGCAGGTGTGCCAGGGAAGAGGCTGGGCACGCAAAAGCTACCTTCTCTTTAGCAAGGATGTGTTGGGAATCAGGCAGGGGTGTAGAGAAAGCCAGAGACATTCACTCTGGTGTCCATCAGACATCTTTGGAAGATATTCTGTCATGAAAGAATCCAATAAAATGTATGAAAACTATTTTAGCTTGGGGTCAATTTCTTTGTTAAGGACAATAAAATAGTGGCTTCTTTGGATAATGTGCTATTTACCTTTTATTATCTGAGGGTATTCAAGATGTTTGCAGCTGAGTTCTACCACCTGATCTTCACTCTTTTTCTTCATTGTTTTCCTGGTTGATGGTTGATTCTTTCTGCTTGATCTTGTGTTTCTTCCATAGTGCTCTCAATAGGAAATCCTTGACCACCCAAGCTCTTCACCTTTCACTTGCCTTCCTGATAAGGAGTGAAGCATTTAACTCTTGAACAATTGGTTATTACTTTGAGCTGGAGTGATAGTTAAGGAGTTGGGCAAGATGGAGATGAGGTACTGTCCCAGATTCTCTGGAGTCCTATCTTTCATGATGGTTTCTTAAGTTTTGATTAGATTCTCTAAACTTTGGAAATATGCTCATCATATCAGTTATAAATGTAATTATAACTCCTAATTCAAATATGAAGGAGGTGTGGGTATCCCTAAAGGAAGTTACTTGAGAGTTCATTATACTAAGACAGTTACATGAAATTAATAAATAGCTGAATGCATGGATATTGTGTTTGCTTTGTATGTGGCAATATCTATTTATGATGGAAAGTCATTTGCAAAAAAAAGCCTTATTAAGCATTATGATTATGTGTAACTAAGTGTTTTGTTTCTTCCTGTTTAGGAAATAATACAGTTTTGGCTTGCAAAAGGTGTTGATGGCTTTAGTTTTGATGCTGTTAAATTTCTTCTAGAAGCAAAGCATCTGAGAGATGAGATCCAAGTAAATAAGTCACAAAGCCCGGTAAGGTTTTAAAATTTCTGAAAATGCATCAGGGTTTCCCTTATTAGCCTGAGATGCCAATTACAAAGGCAAGTCCTCTGCCATCTGTGGGAGGTACCTAGCCACACTACTTCTCTTAGGAGTCATTGGGGTTTCTAATTCAGGCACTCAGACGTTTCCTTCCGCTGGCTTTTTCCAGAGTAAGGGATCCCTGGAGGAGTTCTTCATCTTTGTTCCTTCATGAAGGTTCTGAGGGCACAGAGTGAACTCTACCAAGGACCTAGAATGGAGGACAGTTTGCTCACTGAGATTTTATCATCTCATTCAAGTTCAAGTGAGGAGGTCCCCAGCATCTTTTCTAGTTAGTTGTTCCAGGTTAGATAGACAGAAGGGAAGGGAACAGGCATTGGCCAGGTGTCCGTGGTATGCAACATGCACTTTTATAGTGCATTGAATTCTTGTAACCACCTATTAGAGAAGTTTCATGATCCCCCATTTACCAAACCTTAGAGAACTTAACATATCAAGGGTTATAGAAGTGATAAACAGATTTCTGAACCATGCCCATCTCACTATGAATCAGGATTCATTATGTACACTATAGTGTACCAATAAAAAGTATGGAAGGCAAAAAAATCTACCACATGGACCTCAAGTTAGGTTCAGTCAGTCCGTGTCCCAACCCAGGACCTAAAACCTTGGCTTGTATGGGATGTAGTCTTTTGTTTTTGATTCTTATAATCCTAGGAAGGCAGAGAAATGAATATCAGGAAAAATTACTGAAACTCTGAGGAACTGTAATAGTAAAAATGAAAGATAAATATGGTAAAGAAACTAATTTAAATATACAATATTGATATCTGTGTGAATAGATAAAAGTATAATGATGGGCTCTATAATCCTTAGGATCATTCGCATGCCTTTAAAAGTGTCTGAAGCACTTAGACAATCACATGGGTAGGAGGACTTTATTAACTGTTTATGTTTACTAGATTTATAAAGTTGACAATTAATCAAATGAAGTACTAATAGTTGTGAATACTGTCTGTCAGTCCACAAACTCTTGAGCATGGGAGGTCTCGCCAGGATCTTTTCTGAGTATCTCTTTTGCTCAGCTTGATCCCTTTGAAGAGACTGTCTGTATTTATATGGAGCTGGCTGTGGGTATGCGACATGTGAAATGATGGCATTCCTGTTGTCCTGGTTTTCAAAGGACACTGTCACACACTACTCAGAGCTGTATCACGACTTCACCACCACGCAAGTGGGAATGCACGACCTTGTCCGGAGCTTCCGGCAGACCATGGACCAATACAGCCGGGAGCCTGGCAGATACAGGTGACCACAGGACTGCTTTTGTTCTTTATAGGCACAGAGTGTGATCTGTAGTTTAAACCTCACATGGTTATGAGGCATGGTCTGAGCTCCAAGTCATAATTTAATAAGACTGCATAATTTTATTTCAGCTAGGTTATGCCAGGGTCTGATATATCTTGTCACACAGCTGATTTTCAGTTTCTTCTTTTGTGGAATTTTGCTAATGACAGCACTGATTTCAGAGTTTTATAAAAATTAAATTAACTTAAAAGATAATTTAGTAGTTAAATATTAGCCAGAAACTATTATTTTTATCATTATTACTGGGACTATATTTCCCTGTAGAGTATGAATCCAAATGTTGGAATCAACCTGTCAGTATATCACAATGCTTAGAAACACAGCTTTGGACTCAGATGGGCTTGAGGTGGAATCTGGCTCCGTAGCTGGTTGGTCTTGGGCTGGGTGGTTAACATAAGTCTGTTTTCTCATCAATAAGAAGGTAATGGTAGGGGCCGGGGATATAGCTCAGTTGATAGATTGCTTGCCTTGCATGCACAAGGCCCTGGGTTCAATTCCCAGAACCACCATCAAAGAAAAAAAAAAAACACAAAGGTAATAGTAATAACCTTTTAAAAGGTTATTATGAGATAAATAAGATAATGTACATAAAGCACCTAAAATAGTGCCTGGCATATAATATTCTACAAAATTAACTCAAGGTTAACTGAAAATTTTAGACCATTTTTGATTTATGATTTTTGGATCAGGAATTTTCAACTAGTAAAAGTCTAGGTAAATACTGTAAAATTAAAACAAAACAAAACAAAAAAAACCCCTCCAAAATCTGAAATACTCTGGTCCCAAGAATTTTCGTTAAGGGATACTCAACCTGTGTTAGTTTGTACTGGTCACCCAATAGAATCAATAGAAAAAGAAGCTTAAGAAATTTTCCCTCCTTGAAGTGGTGCTCTGATTATAATCTCCACTTTCTAGATGAGGAGACAAAGCTCTGAGCACGTAGGCAATGGTCCCGTGGGTAGTGATGGCAAAGATGGGATGTGAACCGAGGCAGCTGGGCCCAAGATTGTGCAGTGACCCATTAATACACTGCCCTAGACACCACAGGTGACCCACTGTGACCTTTCTTGGCCACCTGGCTTGACTGCTTTCTAATGAGCCCTGCCCCTATCTGGCTAATAGTGTGTGTTTAGCCCCCACATTTTAAAAATAAGATATAAACAAGATGCAGAGTCTTTAGCCAGTCTCCTGACAGGCCCTGAGGGCCTCAAACCCTGCCAACTCTGACAGGTTCATGGGAGCCGAAGCCCAGGCAGAGAGCATCGACAGGATCATGATGTACTATGGGTTGCCATTTACCCAGGAAGCGGATTTTCCCTTCAACCATTACCTCACCACACTGGACGATCTTTCTGGGAACATTGTGCATGACGTCATCACATCCTGGATGGAAAACATGCCAGAAGGAAGGTGGCCTAATTGGATGGTAAGTCCTTGTGCCCATCTTGAGCCCTTTGAAGAGGCCATCTGTATACACATGGAACCAGCTGTGGTTCCATGATGTGACATGATCGTATTCATGCTGTCCTGGTTTTCCAAGGATTCAGTCCCCTTCAGGAGAAACGGTATCATGACTTAATACACATTGTTGTTGCACTCGCTGGACAGAAACACCTAGGTTACACTAAAGTTATATAAAAAAAAAAAAAAACAACCTGAGCTAGGTGCAGTGACTTAGTTATAGTAAGCCCTAGTTAATTTATTATTGAAGAAAGAGAAAAATATTTTTTTCCCTTGTACTGGGGATTGAACCCGGAGGCACTTAACTACTAGGCCATCCCCAGCGCATTTTCTTTTTTTGGTACTGGGGAGTGAACCCAGAGGTGCTTTACCACTGAGCTGTAAGCCCATATCCCCGCCCTTTTTATTTTTTATTTTGAGATAGGGTCTCACTAAGTTGCTTAGGGCCTCACTAAATTTCTAAGGCTGGCCTCAAACTTGTGATCCTCCTGCTATAGGTGTGCATCACCACGTGCAGCTTGCTTTCACATTTAAAAAAAAAATGTTGTTGTTGGACCATTATTTTATTTATTTGTATGTGGTGCTGAGAATCAAACCCAGTGCCTCATGCATGCTAGGCAAGTGCTCTACCACTGAGCCACAACCCCAGCTTTTACACTTTTTAAGGAGCTTCTCTGCAAAGCTTGTACCAAACTCTTCACTGTGAATTTTCTTGAGGATTCTTTTTTTTTTTTCCTCTATCAGTTCCCTTTTCCCTTGCCTTTTCCTCAACTTTCTTCCAGTCCCATTATAATTTTGAGACTACTGCTATATATAGTCTGTGGTTGACCAGAATGTTGTGTGGCACATAGCTATATTTTATTCCTTTCATGTTGAATTGAATTATTTTCTTAATTTCATTTTTGATTGTTCATTCTTAGTGTATACAAATAATATAGACTTTTTTTTTTTTTTTTTTTGGTGGGGAGTACTGGGGGGCACTTGACCACTGAGCCACATCCCCAGCCCTATTTTGTATTTTATTTAGAGACAGGGTCTCACTGAGTTGCTTAGCACCTCACCATTGTTGAGGCTGGCTTTGAACTTGCAATCCTCCTATCTCAGCCTCCTGAGCCACTGGGATTACATGTGTTTGCCACTGTACCTGGTTTAGTATAGGCTTTTATATATTGATCTCATATCCTGCCTGCAACACCGATGAACTTATTAATTTCTAATAGTTTATTATGCATTCCTGAAAAATTCTTTTGTGGCCTTTCTTATGGCAAAATACACATAAAATTTAAAATAAATGTGCAATTTATTGGTATTAAATACATTCACAAGTTGTTTAATTATCTATCACTATTATCCATTTCTAGAACTTTTTCATAATCCCGAACTTAAAAGTTATATAGTAATCTCTTATTCCTACTTCCAAACTCTTGTATCTTCCATTATGTTTTATGCTTCTATTTTACGAGTACCTCATATAAGTGGATTCACACAATATTTTTCTTCCTGTGACTGGCTTATTTAATCAAATCTACGTTTTCAAGATTTTTTCATACTGTAGCGTATATCAGCATTTCATTCTTTTTTATGGTTGCATAATATTCAATTGAGTGTAGATACCATGTTTTATTCATTCCTTCATCTCTTGACGCCCATTGGGGTGTTTCCTCTTTATGGCTATTGGAATGTCATGAACTTTGGTATATGGTATCCATTTTAACCCCTTTCTTCAATTTCTTTTGGATACCTACATGGAAGTGGAATTGCTGGATCATACAGTACTTCTATGTTTAACTTTGAGGAACTGCCATATTATTTTCTACTGATCCCCCCCGCCGCCCCAATTTTACATTCCTAGCAGCCATGTACAAGGATTCTAGTTTCCCATATCCTTAATAACTAATTTTCTGTGTTTTGAAAAAAAAATCATACCCATCACAGTAGGTGTGAAGAGGTATGTAAAAATTGTCTTTCATAATTGGAGAATATTTTGCTAGATATAGATATTTTGTTTTTTCCCTTTCATTCAAGATGTCATCACATTGCCTTCTAGCCTCCATAGTTTCTGATGACAAGTCAGTTGTTAATCTTATCAAGGATTACTGATATGTGATATGCTAATTTTCTCTTGCTGCTTTAATCAGCATTTTTTTCTGTGCCTTTGTGTTTGGGTGGTACTGGGGATCCATGCTAGGCAAGCACCCTACCACCAAGCCTCATCCCTAGCTCTCTCTGTGCCTCTGACAGTCTGATGTGTCAAGGTGGGGGTTCTGATATGCAGATTGTTTTTCACCAGCTGTGGGAAGTTGTTGTCTGTTGTTTTTTCAGACATTCTTTCTTTCCCTTTTTCTATCTCTTCTCGTTTTGAGACTGTGTATGTTGGTGTGTATGATGGTATCCCACAGGTCTCTGAGATCTGCTCATTGTTCTTCATTCTTTTCTTTCTGATTGTTTCAGTTGAGATTTTCTCAATTGACCTTTGTGTTTTCTGATTCTTCTGCCAGTTCAAATATGTCAAACCCTACTAGGAAAGTTTTTATTTGTTATACTTTTCAACTCCAAAATTTGTTTCTTTTTCATAATTTCTCTGTTGATAATAATGAGTAATATCTATTTGATGTGACACTGTTTCCCATATTGTCTTTAAATTGTGTAGCTATAACTTAGTTCTTTTTTAAAATATTTTTTTAGTTATACATGGATACAATATCTTTATTTTGTTTATTTTTATGTGGTGCTCTGAGAGATCAGATCCTTGTCAGGTCTTTATTTTTATTTTTATGTGGTGCTGAGGATCGAACCCAGGGTCTCTCACATGGGAGGCGAGCACTCTACCACTGAGCCACAACCCCAGCCCCTATAACTTAGTTCCTGGAAAACATAATAGCTGATTTAAAGTCTCTAGTAAGTCAAATGTTTGGTTTCCCGCAGCAACACTTTTTACTGATTATTTTTCTTATCACCAATGTATGGGCCATAGTTTTGCTTCTTTGTCAGTATTTTTGTTGTTATTAAAAACTGGACATTTAAAGGCATGTAATAGGGTAATTCTAGAAATCATGTTCTCCCCTCTGTGTTTGTTGTAGTTGTTACTCCTTTTTTTCTTTTCTTTCTTAGACTAATTCTGCATAGTCTGTTCTTTTTCCATGTGGCCAGGGAAATCTCTACGTTGACAGTTAAGGAATGGAAAGATTTCTAGATGGAACTGATGAGTCTCCCTGTATTGCTGAAGGTCTGTGAGTGTATTGGCATACTCTCAACATTCGGCAGTTGACAGCTCTGCCTTAGTTGTCAATTTCTGATTGCACAGAGCCTCAAGGGTAGCCCAAGGTAAGAGATCAGAGCCTTGTCAGGTCATCCTTGGATATCTGCACAGCCCTCAGCATGCACACAGGCCTGCCATTACTGTAGCCTCTTGGATTCCCAGGGATGTTGGAACTTTTGAAAGCCCCTCACAGACATCTCATTGTCAGCTTTAATTTTTTTTTCTTTTTTTGCTCAGCTTCTGAGTAGCTTCAATTAATAACACCATCATAGGCAGGTACAATGTTGAGTTGTTCTCAGCAATGCTCTGGGGATAGGGCTGTTGCTGTTTGCAGAGTCAGATCAGGCAAAGGAAACCAAAAGTGAGCTGCCAGAAATTTATGAAGGTTTCCTAAGGATGGAGATCTTGGTGTACTTTAAACCTGTTCTGCCCTTCTAGTGGTGGCTAGGCTGCTGGTTTTCAGCTGTTTTATTTGTACGGCTATTAGTTTTGAAAGCCATCATGGATTTGAGTAAGGGTGCGTGAGATTAGGGAAGTGCAAATGCTACAAAGCTCACTGCTCCAAAATGCAATTATTTTTCTTGAATAAATTCATCTTGGATTGTTGTAACCTTTCATGCTCTGTGTCTAGAAGACTTAAGAAATCACAGGGTTTGTTGTTAGAAGCTAAAAGAGTGAAAGGAGGGTTGGGGTCATGGCTCAGTGGCAGAGTGCTTGCCTAGCATGTGTGAGGCACTGGGTTTGATTCTCAGTACAGCATATAAATAAATAAAGGTCCACCACCAGCT